GATGCCGGTGATCGGTGGTAGTGGGGATTTCCGATTTAGTAGAGGTTATGCTCAGGCAACAACTTACTTCTTCGATCCCAAGTCCGGTGATGCTGTCGTTGAGTACAACGTTTTTGTGATGCACTATTAATTCCGGGATCTTTCCTTTTTCTTTCTTTGATTCTTTTCTTTTTTGCTTTTTTACCTTTTCTTTCTTTCTTTCTTTCTTTTTGTGGTTTCTTTTTACTTTTTTTTGTTCCTTTTTCTTTTCGTGGTACTTGTGTCGGAATTTTGTGGGGCAATGTTTCTATCTCTAATAACTATTTTGCCCGTTACAAAACGTGTAGTCCTTTTCATGGAGAATTAATGCATTTGTTGAAAAGTTTCCAGCTTGAGCAAACCTCACCAACCATTCACAAGATAGTGATGAGTGAGACATTAACGTTGGTCACAGACAGCTATATAGGGCAGTTTTAGCAATGATAATGAGTATCAATGAGCTGTAGCTTGGCAAGAAAATATGTATGTAATTTGGTAGTTTTATAACAATTGGGAATCGCAAATCTCTTATTATCAAACAAATACAAAAAATGAAAGCTAGCTTTATTTTGACGCAATATTTACCAGGGAGGGTTGGATTGAGCGATAAGGTAGGAAGAATTGTTAGTTAGATATTCTGAATTCAAGATCTGCCACTTAAAAAAAAAAAAAACAATATTACCAAATAAAATCAAGTGAATTTGAATCATAAGTAATAACTTACAAACGGTTAATGACCAACTTCCAAAAATTAGTCATCAAGTTTTAGGGTCGTGAAGTTACCTAATAAGCTCTCATTAATACGTTTAAATTTCATCTAACCTATCACATATATAAATACACAAATAATTGTTATCACATTTATACACTTTTCTTAATTAATTTTAACTATTCAAAAATTTAACACTTGAAATACATAATGAGTGGCCGATGGACAACCATTAAAGACTCTTTGAAATTCTATTTTAATAGCAAATTCGACATGCATATCATTATCACTACACTTAGATCGTTGCATATCTTTGACAGCGAAAAGTCTCCCTTGCACTGCTTATTAAACCAATAAGAGAAAGTAGAAGAAGCAAGTCTTCTAGAAGAAGAAAGGAAAGGAAAGTAATACAGCACAAACTCGTGGCTTTGGCGTGACAGAAATAAATACCAAAATCTTCCAAGGTTACCATGATGACCTCAATTAGTGATGATAATGGTGTACACGGGGAATTTTTTATGATTACAACAAATTTGTCAATGTTATTTTCCTCTGTTAATGTTTCTTAAGTAAAGTAGACCTGAAAATGTGAATGGACAAAAGATACTTAGTCCACTGTCTTTTGACATAAATCTTTGGAGTTTATGACATAATGTAAGTGGACAAGATGGAATCAATGATCCAGGTTTAGCAATGAAAATGAATGAAAGAAGTAGGAGAAGGGGAAAAACAAAAACAAAAACAAAACAAAGAGGAGGAAATGGATTCAATAATGTGAATATGATTTGTTATTCTTAAAAAAAAAAAAAAGAAGTGAAGCTTAAAAAAAGAAGTGTTTAGGACAAAAATAATGTATAAAGTAACTTATGGACAACAAAACTTTTTAAGTTAATAAATAATTATGTCTAATCTTACAATTTCCCCCTTAACAAATTATAACGCGACTTGCTCAACTCGTCCTCCACCAATTAATAGATTGCTTGATGTATACTCATTGTTTAACAACACCAATGATGCTTTAGGGTTTTTTTTTTTTTTTTTTTTTTTTGAGGGCTGCGATGCTTTAATTTGAAGTAACTTTAAGATTTAGTCATTGTCAATGATGCCTTAAACTAAGGTACAGCTCATAGGCTCAAAGTTTTTCTCTCTCTCACATATGGTTCAGGCTCGGGGCCTTTTGTTTGGATTGCTATTTTTAAAAGTTTTTATAGAAAAATATATTGTAACGATTTAATATATGCGAGATAAAAAAATGATTGAAAAATATGTTTAAAAAAGTAAAAAATTTTCTGCAAAAAACCACAATCCAAACAAGGCAAGCATCCAAGTTTGATTTCCCAAAAAAAAATTAATTGGATTTAGGGTCCGTTTGTTTCGGGTGAAAATATTTTCCAGGAAAATATTTTCCTAATTTCCCGTGTTTGGTTGCACAAAACTTACTGAAAATATTTTCCTATGTAAAATATTTTCACTCATCTAATGGAAAACAACTTCCCTTCCAAATATACTGAAGTTGTTTTCCGAAATGCATGCATCTCGCCTGTAGTATGTTCCAAACTTACTGAAAATATCTTGTAATATGTTCTTTTTTTTTTTAGTGTAAACAGGAGGACTCGAATCCAATACCTCTTCCCAACCCTCCCTCCCCCGTACCACCCAACCCTCCCCCTAGTATATTCAAAATAAAAAAAAATCTCATCCTGCTCATCCTATGCTAGTAATTAATTATGTATAATAGGGACATTCTTTTCTAGAGAAACTTTCAACAGTGAGAGTGCAAGATATATGTCACAATAAGCATTGCATGTGATTGATATTTGACACTAAATGGCCAGTAATTTGTTTATTGCTTAAGGAGATATTTTTTATTCATATGTACATTTCTCCAAGATTTTTTAAAGTTAAACAATTAGATAAATTTTCTTATTTTGCATGAAAAGAAGTATGTAGTTATAATGTGTAGAAAGTAAAGATAGAGATAAAAGTGAAAATATTTCAAAAGTTAAACAAACACCAGAAAAATAAAGTAAGAAAATATTTTCAATAAGCTAACCAAACACCTGAAAATGATGAAAGGGAAATAATTTTCCTGGAAAATTACTTCCACGGAAAATATTTTCCCAAGAAAAACATTTTACTTTCAACCAAACAGACCCTTAATGTAATCTTGAACACAAGCATTACAAGTCATTTATATCGCTTTATTTGTATTTTAGCGGCATTTTTTGGTTTAATAATGACATTCTATCCTAGGTGTCATTTACCCACCGATGTCACTATTGTAGTCTCGTGGCACTTATGCATATTCATAAAGTAGTTGTTTCAATGCTTTTTCGAACATGTCATTGGACCAAAAACCCATGGCATGAAAAGATGCCACTCTATGAATTTTTAAAGGCACTTACAAGTGTAACAAGTTTGAGTTCTCATATCACTACAAGTGCCATTGTTCAAACTATCTTGACACTTTCAAATGTAACAAAAAATTTAAAAAAATTCAAATTAACAATTAAATTAGTAAAATTCATGATTGTCATCATTGCAATTTTCTTAAAAAGGTACCAAACAACAAAAATTGAACATTAATTTAAAAAAAATCAAAGAAAGGAACTTTATAACAAATACGACGTTAATGGTCCTTTAGTTTCAATACATTTTGCTGCATAAAGTATGTAAAGGCAAAACTTTGAACTATCTAAAATTCAGGAGCTGTAAAATTTTACTTGCTCCTTAAAATACTTGATATATTCATAAAGCAAAGTGGGCAATTTTTTTTTTGCCAAGAGACGAAGAGATTAATAATAATACAAATCCTCAGTGGCCTGGAAATTATGTTTAGCACTAGGATCTTAGTGCATAAACGCCATTTTAATTTATACTGGCATGAGAAATCGTGCATGGCATAGGTTGTTTTTTCTTTCACACAATAAAAATTGATGTTTAAAACATATAGATGAGAACAAAACATTAGTTGATTACCCTACAACCCCTTGAAAAATACAGCTCCTTCACTATGCATCCCCTCATTGTTTCAATTAGATTAATATGGCCCCTTGAAAAATATTTAGTACTTTCTCTTTGCTTTAAGAAATCAAATTGAAAAATTGAGTAGGGAACTGCATGCTATGGAAAAACCTGTCAACAAAAAGGTAGGTGGGAAATGCACCATGCAGGAATTGGTCTTTGTTCACCTAGTAGTCTCGGGTCTACAACAACCAAGTGTTTCTCCAGCGTTCTTGGTGCGAAAATTCTTTAACATAATAAGAGCTTATAAAGAAAAGTTTTCTTGTTTTGAAGTGTAAATTTGTCAAACTTGATCAGGGGTTTGGAATCAATCTTTTCAATGTTCACAGAAATTATTTCAATGACAAATAGTAACTAAAACCCGATCAGCATACTTAATATGCGAATTTGTGTGTGTGTGTGTGTTTTTTTTCTGGTTTCTGTTTATCACATGCAATCATTTCTCAAGATTTTAAGTCAAATTAATATTCTAATGAAAACTGGGAAAAATGAGATTAGTGAAATAAAGTTTAAGGTAATTCTAAAATTCCAAACAATTCCCAACGGGATAAGCAATATCAGTCCTCAACTTCAGCAACAAATGTGGCTCCTTGTCAATGGGAAAATGATATGATTTCTCAGCTTAGGTAGGAACGAATGCTCCCAAAACAGTGCGCACCTATTCAATTGTTTCATTTGATGGCCTCATGAGTTGTATCCAATTCAAATAGGCTCATATAATTTTTACAGCTTAAATATAAACACGTACAATTTAAGTATAAATTTAAATTTGTCAACTAATACAACTAAATTGACAATTATATTAAAATTGTACGAATTTATATTAAATATAATAAGAATTACACGAATTGGTTTGAAAGGACAGAACCAAACTTGTGAAACCCCTTCTTCAAGCTTACAAATATGTGTTCATTGTGCAAATCATTTGCCTCACAATCTATATATATATAGTGATGCACCGTCGACACATTTCCAAGAAGAAATTGACCTTCCATTCCATGGCTACAAATTCAGCATTCCATGTCCTCACCATCTTCATCTTCATCTTCATTTCCATCATCACCATTCAGGTCACTTACGGTGATGAAGAATACGAGTTCATCAAGGCAGTTGATCCCACAGCAATAAATATGAAGGAAGAAAAGCTAAGCCATTTCAGGTTCTTCTGGCACGACATCCTCAGTGGCAAAACACCTACTTCAATCACGGTGGTGCCGCCACCCAAAAACAATTCATTCACTGCTTTTGGCCTGGTGAATATGATCGATAATCCGTTAACTCTAGGCCCAGAACTCAGCTCAAAGATGGTCGGAAGAGCTCAGGGATTTTATGCGTCAGCTTCACAAGAAGAGATTGGTCTGTTGATGACCATGAACTTTGCTTTCATTCAGGGTAAGTATTATGGAAGCACCATCACCGTGGTAGGGAGGAATCCCGCTTCCAACATGGTCAGGGAGATGCCGGTGATAGGTGGAAGTGGGCTTTTCCGATATGCTAGAGGTTATGCTCTGGCAACAACTTACACCTTTGATCCAAGTCCGGTGATGCTGTTGTTGAATATAACGTCTATGTAATGCATTATTGATTCTGGGCTATTTTAAATTATTTCTTTGTTTCTTTTATTTTTGTATTCCATACATATATACATATACATACTTACGTATACATATATATATTTATATACACATACATACAAATATATATTGTGTGTAGTAATTGTGGCGAAATATTGTAGGGCATTCATTTTTTCTAATAAATATTTTGTCAGTTTTTAAACTTGTACTCATTTTTCGTGGAGAATTAATATAATTTATTTGTTGAATAGTTTCTAACTTATGCAAAACGCACCAACATCTCATGAGATGGTGAGTAATGAGGCATAAACACTGGTCTCGCACAAGAAGTGTGGTTGTAGCTAGTATGGGCAATGAGCCCTAATGAGCTTTGCCTTAGTGGTACTAGAGTCGTCCCCAAAAGTACGGGATTTCAGATTTAAGTATTAAAGCCATATATTATGAAATTATTTGTATGTGCACTATGTATATGTGGTGTTTTGTAGTAATTAGGATTTGCAAATTTGCAAACAAAGAATCATGTGAACGCTTTATTGTGCAACAATACTTACACAAGGAAAAAAAAAAGTAAATTTAATGGATCATAAGTGACAACATACACACAATTAATGACCGACAAAAAATTAGTCATTTAGTTTTAGACTTCTCAAATTTTATTTGCATAACATATTCGACACGAATATTAGTATCAATCTAACTAGATCGTTGAATTTCTTTGTCAATCAAAAGTTTCTTTTGCACTAGTTAATTGACTAAATAAGAGAATGGTAGAACCATAGGAGTTAACCCAATGATCAAGTGATGACTCTTAGAGGCTAGTACATTCAAAGTTTAAATTTTGAACCTAGCAGTTGGAGGTGAAAGGGGACGTTGGGGAGGGGTGAGAGGGTAAGAAAAAAAACTAATAAGATTACGGTGTGACAGAACAAGGAGCAAGTCTTCTAGGAAAAGATAGGGAAGAAAGTAATAAAATAGATGTGTAGCTTTGGTTTGACGTAAATAGAGTAAATTATACGAAATATCACTAAACTATTGCAATGTGTCATTTTTGGTTACTAAACTTTTTTTATTAGTCACAAATGTCACCGAATTAGTAAATCTATACCGTTTAGGCCACTCCGTCTCTTTATATCATTAGAAGAGATGGAAAGTAACTTTTTGAGGGGTAATTTCGTTTGCACAACTTTTTGTGGCAATGAAGGGACAAGAGTGGGGTGAGTTGGGTTTAGAATGTTGGCAAAATTTTTAACAAAGTAAACAACCGATGAGAAAAGTTGCAGCATTAATCCAGCAAAAACAAAGTAATCAGTGAGGAGAACAAAGCATCGGCCGAAAATGAAAATTAGCAGTAAAACACAAGTGATCGATGGCAACGAAGTGGGTGAAAAGGGAAAGGGATGAGCTCATTGATCCCTTAAATGTCCAGGCTGAGCACCAGAGCCCAGGAGTCAGCATCTAACCCCCTTTGTTAAACTGCATCTGGGCTTTTGCCTTTTCTTTCTCTCTTTCTTTCTTTTGTTTTCCTCCTGAGGTCTTCCAAAATTTGAGAAATTTTTTGGGTTTTCATCATAATTAGATTTTCTATTCCGTTTGGTTGTACAAGAATTTCTATTAAGCACAAAGTTTGGAATTTTTAATTGGTATAACTGTTCATTGGATTGAAATAATAGCTTTTCAATCATCATTTTTTTTTCTTTTTCTTGGGGGGTCTTACGATAGAGGGATTGAATAATGGGATATGTATTTGTGAAGAAACCAAAAATAATAGAGGTGGATCAGACAATCCTCTCCCTCAGGACCCAAAGGCCTAAAAGCTTGCTTTTTCTTGTGGGATTGCTTTTAGTATTGTAAAGATTCAATATTTTTAAGCTTTTGAATGTTCTATTATTTAGAGTATACAGATGATGGTTTGTTAAAGAACTTGACTATTTTAGGATCAAACAATGCAAATTTAGTGTGTGATTGAAAATGCACATAATAATTGTGATATTCCATCATCATTGGTTTTCAGCCGAAGAATGTGATTGAGGCTGAGAAGCAAGCTACAAGGGCTTGCTCTGCGAAAAGAAGAAGGATAGGCCTTACTAGCATTGAAAAAGAAGAAAGTATAGGAAGAACTATTAAAGCAAGTAGATACCTGGTTCATTAATGTTGAGCTGCAAGTGATTCCTTCTTTATGTTTTTTTTTTTTTGCATGTTTATCATTCATCCATTCAGTGGTGCTTGTGGATGGTTCATTGGCAAATGTGTGGAACTTGAACATGCATTTTGATTTAGTTGGCATATATTGAATTTGCAAACAAGCAGACGAAATTGTCCATGAAAATGTAACTTTTCATCTCTTATGACGGCATAAGTACACGGAGTGGTCTAAACGATATATATTTACTAGTTCGATAACATTTTTTGCTAATGAAAAAGTTTAGTACAAAAGCGGCACATTGTAATAGTTTAGTGATATTTCGTGCAATTCGCTCAGATAAATAAATACCAAAGTCTTCTTAGTTTACCATTTTGGCCCCAATTCATGACGATGTTGTAAATAGGGACATTCATAGATGATTCCAAGAGGCTTGTTATTGTTAATTACAATCTGACATACATCTTTGGAGTTGTAATTGCACTTTTTCTCCCGGTTGCCCCCACAAATTTCTTTTATCAGCTTTTTACCCCCCATGACAAAGGATAAAAGTTTACGGCGAGTTCTTCTGTGGAAACAATGATCCAATTAAAGCTATATGGTAGATGGAATCATGGGCTCAGGTTTTAGATGTGAAAATAAATGAAAGAAGTAAGAGAAGGGGAAATAAAAGAAGAAAATATAAAGGTGGAAACAGATTATTTTAGGTATTATTCTAAAAAAAAAACTGAAGTTTAGGACTAATATCATACATAAACTACCTTTTGGACAGATTTGGTTTTAAGTCAATAAATTCAGTACGTTATAGTCTTCTAAACAAATTAGGACGAATTCTATTAATTTTCCCCAAAAATTAAACGCTAATTGCTCAACTCTTCCTGCAGCAATAGATTGCTTGATATTAATTATTTAACAATCAGAGATGCCTTAGGGTTTTCACGTTAGATGCACATGTTGCACTGAAAGGATATAAAGAAATGTAATTAATGAAAGAATTTAGACAGAGAGATATGGATGACACACATAGAAACATAGAAGGATAAATATGATATAAAAAATTTATGATTTCCAAATAAAATTTCTCTCAGATGGGACCTAATCTAATGTGCATTTATGTTTTAATCCATAATTTATTCATTTCATTAAATTGAAATGACCTAATCTAATGTGCATGTATGTTTTAATCCATAATTTATTCATTTCATTAAGATGAAATGACCTAATCTAACGTGCATATATGTTGTAATCCATAATTTAATCCATAAATTGAACGGGATTTATAATTTCTTATATGTCTCTTTTCTCCAACATCTGCACGTGTATTTAATTTTGGACTAACATTAGTTTGATTGAAACTTGAAAAGTTTAGAGGTGGACACCGAAAGGGACGTCGCGTAAAGTGAGACAAAGCTCTATATTTCATGGAGGAAAATTTTGTTGTTAATCCGTGCGCTTCTTAAGCTTTACTGCAAAGAGAAATTTATACATGGGTTTTTTAGAGAGATAATTTCGGAAACCTCCTCCGAGGTTTTTCATAATGTCACTCAGTTCTCATGAGATTTTTAAAATCTTACTTACCTCCTTGAAATGACATTTCTTGTAACATATTAACCCCTTTGGAGGAAATACAAGAAAGATAAAACTTTTGTTCCAATACTACCCTTATGTTATCCTACTTATGGAATTAATAATGACAATAAAAAATAAGATAAAGTTAAATTTTTAGAGAATAAATCTCATAGACATTGACAGTGTACATACTTTCGCCGTTGGATACATAACACATATGCAAAAGTTGGAGTTCAAATTCAAATTTTAGATAACTGTCATTCATCCTTTATTGACAGTATATACACTGTTAGTATAGGAAAGATTAATTCATTTTTATAAAGTGTAAATTTCTTGACGTAAAATATTTTTTTTAGTTGTATTGGAATAAAAGCAAAATTTACACCTTGAAAAATTCACACATATGAAGAGATTATTTTAGTTTTCAATACAACTTAAACTACACCATGAATTAAAACATATTTCTCCAAAAAATATTTTGACTTCCTTAATTTTAACTATACATGAAATTTTTTAAAGGGTTAATTACTCTCTAAAATCTTCCTAAGTGATTGATATTGATTAGATTTAATTTATCCATAGCCTTTGCTATCTCACCATGACCCCAATGTAAAGAAATATGGACCATTATTAGCTAGCAATTTTTTTTTAATTTACATTTTTTGCTTTTAAAATTTATTTTGTTTTGACTTTTTGGTTAAATAATTATTAAGAGCAAGGGTAATGTTGTGAATTTATGACCTTTGATAGGAATATTTAGTCTTGTCAAGTTAACAAGGGAGATAAGTGAGATTTTAAAAACTTGAGAGGAATTGAGTAATATTATGACAAACCTCACGGGAGATTTCTGAAATTATCCCTTTTTTAGAATTGTCATTACTGTTGAATTATAGGTTGCAAAAGAAAAAGAATGTATACAAGAAGTGAAAACTTTGAAAGATCAAGAACAAATTTGAAACTCTCTCATTCTTTCTCCACTTTGTATATAATTTTGATCATGGGGATCAATTTCTAGTCGCGTAGCTTCATAATAATTCTGTAAAGCTTCCGAAGGAAACAAAAAAGAATTTGCATTTCACTCAAGAATTTGCATAATATATACGAACAGATGATGGGTATTAATCTGTCTAAAGATAACCTACACATTTTCAATAAAAATATAAAATGAAAAATACAATTGCATAATTATCCAACAAAACAAATCAAAGAATAAGTAATAGTATTATAAAAGACAACAAAAACAACTATATATAGAAACCAAATGAAGCATATTGTCTGGTACGGGAAGCAA